AGTTGTATTCTTTCTCCATACCTATGTAACCTGTACACTAAACAAATAATCTGAGAAATTGGAATATATGAAGAATATGGTATCAAGATTGGAAGAAGACTCATTAAAAACCTTCTTGATGCAGATGACCTAACTTTGATTTTAGACAATAATCAGAACATTAATTACTTTAGGAAGAAGAATAAAGGCTATAATGTTAATATAGATTACACTACAAAATCAAGAAAACAAAATCCTCACCACTGCACCAACAGACAATATCTTGATGTTGTTGTTAAGTGCCATCAAGTCGCAGGCAACTCATAGCGATCCTATGAAGGAGAGTCCTCAACTCTTGGAAGCCTTTCATCCTCTCTCCAGGTTCATAGGGTTTCCGGAGGCAAGCTATTATGGAAGTGGATGCCACTCCTCCTTCCAAGCTTTTTTTTAATCAGGGAGCTCCACCCCACTCTCTGTCTACATTGGGAAACCAACCATTAACACATTTGACACACCAGTGTCACAGTGTTCAGCCTTACAGCAACGAAAAGTGACCTCTGTACGGCAACTTGTACACCAGGGCTATACAACCTAGAGGAATGTCTGAACAAAAACAAAGACAGGCCCAAGGGCCGCGGATTAAAAGTCACCCACCTTTGGCTTGGTAGCATCGTTACTAAAGAAGCCAGAGTCCGGATTCAGCTGACATTAAATATCCCAAGACCCTAGGCGGGCCTTGACCTTTCAGTGTCTTACCAGCCTGCCACGCCCATGGAGAAAAAGATTGAAAATATTTCATTGTATTTACTTGGGTCCACAATTAACATCCATGGTAGTTGTTATTGTTGTTAAGTGCTGTTGAGTAGAGTATGACTCTATGAACAAAATATATAGACCCTGTTCTATAACTATCATCATAACAATACAAAAATCAACAGATGTGTACTGTTGAAGAAATATTTTTCAATGACTTCTTTAAAGTGCAAAAGAGGGAGAAAATCAGGTTATATTCTAAATTGTGTCAGATGAAAGACGTGTATTTGAAGTTGCAACCTATGCATCTGAAAGTTGGATAATGAATAAGAATGGCAGAAGAGGAATTGATGCCTTAGAATTGTGATGTTGGAGAAGAGTAATTTACTACTGAATCCTGTGGGTTGCCAAAAGAATAAAAATGGTTATATCAGAGGAACTGCTGCCAGGGAGCTCCTAAGATGGTAAAATAACATATTTCGGTCATGCTGTGAAAGAGACTAGTGTTAGGAAAGAGATATAATTCTGTAAAATGTCAAGGATCAGAGAAAGAGAGGAAGATGCTTTGCAAGATGGATTGACATAGTAGGCATAACAATGACCTGGAGACTATCAGAGATTGTGCGGCTGGGACTATAGCAGGCAAGTTTCATGTCTGTGGTAGACTTTGGGCCTTGTTCAGCTCAACAGCATGTAACCAAAACCGTACCCTTAGTATTTGTTTAACATTGTCAGAGGTTCAAAGAGTTAGTACATGGAAAGATTTTTCAATCTTCATTCTTTGGTCATAGACATAAAGGATGTAGTCTTTTACTTGGGACACTTTGATAATTGATATGTGCTTAGCTAATTAATTATAAATGTACTATTTTATGAAGATACTGCCAAGGACTACTCACAGAAAAAAGATCTTTTCCCCCCAAGACTTCTGAATTTGATTGAATATCATTAAAATTCTGATTTCATACTCCTTGTTGTTTTATGTTGAATCATACGGATTCTGAGTATCTCATTCAATTTGGTCTTCAAATATATATATAATTACTGGACAATAGTTTTAGATATTTTGTGCATCTGTTGAAGTTGCAGAAGTTTTAATGATAATTTTGACCTAGAACCTGTAACATGTGTAAAGCTAAAGATTTGGAACTGAGTTATTTGAATGAAGTTACACCCTACACCATATAATATCTCTATCTACTTGAGTGAATGTGGATGAGAGCAGGGTTATTATTCATATGTCCCAATAAAATGTAAGGAGCCCTGGGGGCACAGTGTATAACATATTGTGCCACTTTAAAAAAAAAAAAGAAAGAAAAAAGATCAACAGTTCAAATCCACCAGCTGCTTCATGGGAGAAAGTTGGACAATTTTCTTGCCTTGGACACCAGATGAAGTGTCCATTGTAAGTCAGAACTAAATCTCCTGCAGTGAATAATAAAAGATACAGGCAGGAAAAGATTCCTCCAAGAAGAGAAACTTTATTTTGTGTACTATTAGAGAAAGCAAAAAACAATAGTAAATGTATACATCTTAAGCTTTCCGTAGCTAGAATAAATATTATTGTAGATGTTAAAATGAATAACATTTTTTAATAAGTTGGCATGGCTTGTGAGTCATGAAATGCTGTTCAGTTACAGCATGTGAGAGCAATATTTCTCAGACTTTCACCCAGTGTAAACAAAATGTTCTCAACAATCGGATTGTTTCAAATCATCACTTTGTAATTTTTTTTTCACTTTGCAATTTTTATCCAAACACAGAAAATGCTATTTTCTCATACTTGCCTCCCCCTCCATTTCTAGTACTAATTTACTTTTTCTTCCTGTTAACCCATTACATGCATTTCCCCAACATGGTATATACATCAATAGATTGGGATCACTTACACAGTATTAAGCAATAAAGGTTTTATTTCCATTTTAAATATGTATCGTTGGCTGGTGGTTGTATGGTCCTGGAAACCAGTGTGAAAGTCATCTACAGGAGCTGATGTGCCAGATGTGATAATGTTTACCCATGGTGAATAGTGTTTAGTGGAGCTCCCCGATTAAAACAAGCTTGGAAGCAGGAGTGGCTTCCGAAATGGCTTGCCTCTGGAAACTCTATGAACATGGAGAAATGACCAAAGTTGTACAAGTGTTCAGGTCTTTCATTCATAGGGTCACTGTGAGTCGTTTATGACTTGACAGCACTTAACAACAACAACAACAATATCCTTTAAAAAGTTTACATATGATAAGAGCTCATTCAGATGACTCTGGTATTAGTTCTGACATAATAGTTCAAGTCATATTTACAGCCAATGCTTGCCATAGTCCAAACCACTCGGTAAGATGGTACTGTAGCCTGGGGCTGCTGGGAGGTCACATTAGTGCTGTAAGAATGGAGTCGGAGGCCTAACACTGTGGGCTTGTGTGCACTTTAGTGGTCTTATATCATCAGAGGGGACACATCCTACTATCATTTACAACTAAATTGCCACATCAACACTGACTTCAGAACTGACTAGGGAATAACCTGCGTCTTAGCTGTTTTGAAGAATATGTAATAAATGTAAACATCTACAAGCAAACGAGTGAGAATGACATCAACAAAGCATACTCTGGAGCACTATACATAGCATAAATTATTAATGATGAGAGGTAAAACAATAAGTGCAATTCAATATATTTGAATAACACATAAGCCAAAGTTTATTTGTCCTTTGATTCAAGACTTACGTTGATTTTTTTTTTTGTTGTATAATGGACCTTTTGCATTAATGCTAGATTATTTTTCCCTTAATAGAATAAATGTGATCTAAATAATAATTGTGTTTCCTCCCACTAGTGGAAGAAATTTGGTTTTAGGAAAGTTATAATATCACATTGAATTTTTTATATTGAATGTATTATGATAGGTTGTTGTTGTTGTTATGTGCCGTCGAGTCGCTTGCAACTCATAGCGACCCTATGTACAACAGCCCTAAACTCCGCTCTGTCCTGTGCCAATCGCACTGTCTCTGACAATCCTATCCCAATTATCCCAGTCACTGAATCAATCCACCTCATAGAGGGCCTTCCTCTCCTGCGCTGTCCCTCCACCCTCCCAAGCATGCAACATTCCCCAAGGACCGGTCTCTCCTCACAACATGTCCAAAGTATGTTAGACGGAGCCTCAGAATCCTTGCCTTCAAGGAGCCACCTGGTTTAACCCTCTCCAGGACAAATCTGTTTGTTTTCCTAGCAGTCCATGGTATTCTCAATACTCTTCTCCAGCACCACAGCTCAAAGGCATCAATTCCCCTTCTATCCTCCTTGGTCCTTGTCCAATTCTCTGGTGCATAACAAGTGATTGCGAAGACCATGGCCTGTATAGATTATAAATTATTTTATTCTGAATTATCTGTATCTATAATGTATCAGATTTTGTAACATTATTTTCATTTCAACTGTTGTTCCTGTTGTTATTGGTAATTTGACTGCTTATCTTACTACTGTGTATGTGACTTATTCAAATTAAAATTTTTTTTTAAATTATTACTGCTATGATATTGAGGAATAAATGTCTATGGATATAGGGAAATGTGTCCCTCTTATTAATTCAAAGATTTTGGTGCTCATTCCTTTGACCAGAGTGTCCATTTGTCATGCTCAAAAGAATCAGTAGTTCTCTAAAAATGATTTTATGATCATTAAATGTGAAGTAAAGGCACAAAATGGAATTATTCCAAAAAGAGAGTGGGTTGCTACTAAAGTGGTTGTTTCTATAAGTTTTGTGTCTCATGAATATGTGAAATTTTCATCAAAAACAAGCCAATTGATGTGGAAGAGAAATTATTAACTAAAATTTTAAAAAGTATTGTTGAAAATACATATTTAAAAGTACTAACACTGAGTATCATATAAAGTCATTCCTAAATGGGAACTTGATGTTCATGTTGTTGTTGTTGTTAAATGTCATAGAGTCATAGACGACTCATAGTGACTCTGTGAACGTAAAACCTGAGCACTTGTACAACTTTGATCATTTCTCTCAAGTTCATGGAGTTTCTGGAGGCAAGCTATTTCAGAAGTGGATACCACTCCTAATAAAAGAGGGAAATAAATAGCTATATTAATGATTCAGTCAAATAATTGAAAGCTGTACAAATACATGCATTAATTTAAAAAGGAAAAAATAGTAAAATACTTAGCTTTGTTAATATTGTGTTCTAATAGGCTTATTTAAAGAAAGACAATCTAATAGATTGAATTTTTGTTTCTTTCACATGTTTCCTAATCCAGATTTATATTTTTGAAAACAACATCTACTATCAACCTGATATAAAGAGCAGTTCATTGCGACTGACATCTTCAGGGAAAGAAGGAATTATTTTTAATGGAATTGCTGACTGGTTATATGAAGGTGAGCTGAACAAATTCAATTTCAAAGAATACAAATGGCATATTTTTAAACAAAATCTATAAGAAAAATCTGCTTATCAGGAACAATCTTTATAGCACTATTTTTGTGTCTTCATTTCCTCTGAATATTACTTTCATGTTTTCATATCTTTGAATGTGTTCATATGTTCACGGTTATGAATCTCATCAATTTATATATATATATGATTCAACGCTTTGAGAGAGGGTGTGTGTGTATGTATGTATGTGTGTATGTGTGTGTGAGAGAGATAGAGATTGATTCTATTTAGCCTAGATGGATTTTATATTATGACACTTTAAAGTGAAATGAAAGTTAGCGACGACCTTAGATTCCATTGAAAATAAATGATAAATCTTTTATTTCTGTGGAAAAAGGAAGAACCCAAACCAACCAAACAAAAAAAACAAAACAAAACAAAAAAAACACTGTACAAAAAAAAAAGCATAATAGCTACTTTATTTTAATCTTTCCCATTAGGAACATTCTGTCACAATTTCTTTCCCATTAGGAACATTCTGTCACAATTTAAAAGACATTGTACATAGAGAAAAAGAAAACCCGCTTAAAGAGTTATCTGTGGTAATGCTTAAATCAAATTAAAGTAACAGATGAAAATATAACAATGAATCAGGTGCTGACAACAGTGTTCCTGGTCTGATCATGTGCCAAATCCTGGTACTGCTTACATGAAAAAGACCCTGAGCTTCAAATAATTCCTAAGATTCAGCCTATACAAATTTAGCTTAGAAAATATGTAAAGACTTAGAATTAATTACAAATTAAGAACATAAGAATCATCTAGAAACATCAGTTTCAATACAATAATATCAAGGCAGCTTTACTATCTCAGAGTGACAGTCTCAATGTTTAAAGAAGAGTGAATCATTGAGATCATGAATTCATTCTTATTTTTACTCAGCAGATATTATTGGAGGTATATAAGTTCTAAGATATAACAGGGATCAAATCCTAGTGTTAAATAGTCTTGGGTGGGGCTATTGAATCAAATAATTAACTATTGTAGAAGCCAGAGTTTTCTTAACTGCCCAGAAACTATCAGCAGCAAGTGTATTAACGAAGTTTGAAAAATAAATACACAAATATGTAAGTGATATTCTTTGGTTAATAATGTCAGAGTGGATTCTGACTTTCATATTTCCAAATCTGTTGGTTGGAGAAACAGGTAGAGAATAAACTTGAAAACAGGGTAGTTCTCAAGATCCGGGTTGCAGTCTGATTGTCGTGTCTTGAAGAACAAAAAGAGCAAACCAAGTATGTTATGCCTTTTGTCTTAAAAATATTGTGAAGTCTGAAAAGATGAAGAAATCTGTCACCTACTGCATGATAGCAGGAGAAAGACGGGCAGACTCTAAAACTGCCTCTGAAAACCCACTGGAGGGTCAGCTATAGTTCGGTTCTCACTTGACGGTACACAACAACAACGGCGTAATAGGCAACTTGGTTAGAGAAAATAGAGGATTTTATGAAGGAATTCGACTTCTGGTGTTATAGTCCATAGGGAATTCTGCTACTAGCCCAAAGGCAAACCCTGGCTGATGGTTCGAAGTTACTAGTGCTTTCACATAATAAATATGGGCAGCCTTCTCCTGTCCAATTTTACGGCATCTGAAAACAGCTGGAGAGTAGGCTATGAGTTGGTTCAGACACAGCAGCAATGAATAAGGAGGTATTTTTTAAATGAAAGATTAGAAAGTGACAGTTCTTTCAAAGGAGCAGAGTCGAAAGAAAATCTATTTACTGGGGAAAAAAATTTGCCAGTACCATTTCAGACAAGGGCCTCATATCAACAGTTTATAGAATATTCCAGGGCCTCCACAAGAAAAAGACTGATCACATAATATGAAATGGCAAAAGACATGGAACGAATTTTCACAGAGGATGGTATTTGTTGACCAACAGGCACATGAAGAAATGCTCATATTCACTGACAATAAGAGAGATGCAAATCAAAACCACTATTAGATGCCATCTCACAGTGGTAAAGTTTAACAGGAGAGAGAGAAATAAATGTTGGAGAGGATGTGGAGGGATACAGTGTTGTTTGGATAATAAAATGGTACAAGCACTCTGGAAGGCAGTTTGTTGTTTCCTCAAAACGCTGTAACCCAGCTATTTCACTCCTTGGAATATAACCCAAGAGAATGAGAATTTAGGCATAATCAGAGACTTGCACACCAATCTTTATAGCAGCATTATTCACTCTCGTTAAGAATATGGAAACAGCTCAAATATCCAACCACAATAGAATGGTCTGAGAAACTATTGTGCATTCATACAATGGAATACTATGCAGCACACTGGAGTAATGATTTTGAAAATTGCTTCTAATTTTGGAGGGACTGGAGAGCATTATTCTGAGTGAGCTAACTCAGGCTCATAAGGACAAATACTGTATAATACCATTATTACAGAATGAGTATGGGACTCCAAGATAGGAAAAGGTGTCAGCAGAGAGGTGGTGATGGGTGGGGGGTGGTTAATCATAGAGATACACAATTTGATGTGTGTAGGGAGGAGGCATGAAGGAAATGGGAAAGACCCAGTGTGAAAAACAATGTCTACAAACTTTGTAAATAACTAAGTACATATGAAGATTATATATAAAATACATAATACTGAGGGAATGGAAGTTGCTGTGTCAGAATTAGTGAGACTGGCTCAGGACAGGGAAGGGTGCATTGCAGGTGACTCAGCCAATAACATTCTATGACAGGTTTGGAAGCAGGAGTGGCATCTACTTCCTAAACAACTTGCCTCTGGAAACTCTATGAAACTTGATAAATATCGATACTTGTAGGGATGCTTCAGGCCTTTTTTCTCATAAGGTCACAATGAATCATTCTGGACTCAAAGAAAATCAGCGACATAGAAAATATTATATATAATATTTAATATTATAATATCGTGGTTGTGGTTAAGTGCCGTCGAGTCATACACGACTTACAGCAAGCAACCTTATGAACGGAAGACCTGAACACTTGTATAACTTTTATCATTTCTCTAAGTTCATAGAGTTTCCAGAGGCAAGCTATTGTGGAAGTGGATTCCACTCCTGCTTCCAAGTCTGTTTTAATATGGGAACTCCAACAGATACTGTCCACCATGCATAACCATTATTGCATTTGACACATCAGTGTCACAGTGTTTAGTATAACAGTAACCATGAGTTACCTCTGTATAGGAAATGGACAGACCAGTACTTTACCAGTTAGAAGAATTTTTGATCAAAAACAATTACAACCAGGCCTGAAGACTGTAGATTCAAATCACTCGCCTTTGGCTTGGTAGCATAACTTTTTATCCATTAGGCCAACAGAGCTCTCTCTATAACTCACAGCAATTCTGTGAACAATGGATCTGACCCTTACCCTATCCTACACCATTTCCACAATCCAAGACATGCTTAAGCCCATTGATACAATCACTGCATCAATAGTAATACTGTTGTTGTTGATTGCCTTCAAGTCAAGCATGACTCATAGCAACGCTGTGAACAAAAGGTTTGAAGCCCCTATACAACGATCAACATTTATTAGTTACTATCAATTTATCAAAGTTCATGTCAATATATTATACAGTTGATAATAATTTAATAGTAATAAATATAATGTTGTTGTTATGTGCCATTGAGTCACCTGCAACTCATAGCAACCCTATGTACAAGAGCCCTTAATGCCATTCTATCCTGTGCCAACCTAGCCATCTCAAACGCACTCATTCCTACCACTCCAGTCACAGAATCGATCCATCTCATTGAAGGTCTTCCTCTCCTGTGCCACCCCTCTACTCTGCTAAACATGATGTCCCTCTGCAAGGACCAGTCCTTCCTTGCAACATGCCCAAAGTATGTCAGACAAAGCTTCAGAATCCTTGACTCCAAGGATCATTCCAGCTTCACCCTCTCCAGGACGAACCTGTTTGTTCTTTTAGCAGTCCAGGGTATATTCAACACTCTTCTCTAGTACCACAGCTCAAAGACATCATTTCTCTTTCTATCATCCCTATTCACTGTCCAACTCTCTGATGCATAGCATGTAATTGCAAAGGCCATAGCCCAGATCAGGTGCACCTTAGTTTCCAACCTGACATCATTGCTCTTCAGTACTCTTGAGAGGTCCCTGACAGCTGACTTTCCCAATGCAATTTATCTCTTGATTTCCTGGCTGCTGGTACCAAGTGTGTTGACTGTGGAGCCAAATAAACTAAAACTATTAACTAACTCAATCTCTTCACCATCCATACTGATGTTACCAATTGGCCCAGTGGTGAGAATATTTATAATAATTTGATATAATAAATATAAAAATATTATATAAAAAATTCACATGTGTTTTTTATAGGGGTCTTGTTAACAGCTTTAGTTTGCTTGGCTCCACAGTCAGCATTCAGTCAACAGTCAGCACCCAGGAAATTAAAATGCAAATTGCATTGGAAAATCTGCTGTCAGAGACCTCTGCAAAGTGCTGAAAAGCAATAATGTCAGTCTGGAGACTAAGGTGTGCCTGATACAGTCCATAGTCTCATCAATTACTTGCTATGCATCATAAAGCTGAAGAGAGAGAAAATTGGTGCCTTTGAACTGTGGTGCTGGAGATGAGTATTGAATATATTGTGGATTTCTAGGGGAGCATACAGGTTCATCCTACAGAGAGTGAGACCAGGCTGCTCCTTGGAGGCAAGGATTCTGACCTTCATCTGACATACTTTGGACATATTGCAAAGTGGGACCAGTCCTTGCAGAGGGACATCAGGCTTGAAAGGATGGTGTATTGTGCAGGAGAGGAAGACTTTCTATGTTGATTCAGTGACAGGGGTTATGGGGATTGGTGTGTCAGGGACAATAAGATTGACACAGGATAGTGCATGGTTTAGGGCTGTTGTACATAGGGTCTCTATGAGCTGACGGCACATAACAGTAACAACGCAATAAACATAAGAAGATCCCAAAAAAGGTAAAA